TTTCTGTCAGAGGCCTGGTGGTGCCTTCTCCCTGAATGGTGGTCTATAACAAGGAAAAAAAAAAAACCAAACTATCCAAGTTCTGAGTTTTCCCAATGAGGTCAAGTCTTACTCTCTTGGATGCTGAAGACAAGGAATGCTTGATCCATCTGACAGTTCATCTCTGCATTCGACAGACCATCTGTGCCCAAACTAGACCCCTCAAAATGGGACTAATAAAGTGGCCTGTCCTGAGAAGAGGGTGACAGTTCTGGGTGGACACAGGGGAAAACCCAGATTAAGCTTTTGAGTCAAATGTATAATAAGACCATAACCCTGCTAGACACACTTTATTGGATTTTAACAGAGCTGGTGTTACATCTCTCCCTTTTCTTTCCTCTTAGTGGCATTATCTGTGGTGATGGTGGTGGGGTATTAGGCATTGCTTTCTGAAGACACAAGTTTGTTTCGGGCATCAAGTCCAAGTTTACTCTAATAATGAAAAAAGAAACACTTTCATTTTTTTTCTACTCAAGATAATGCTAATACAAGACTGTATTTGATTAACTTCTTGAAATGAATTAGTCAAATGTGCCCTAAATGACTACACCAATAAATTAGATAAATTTAGACTGTAAATTAATAAATTAGACTGTAGAAGGCAGTCAGCTTGTGAAATCACTACAATCCATGCTGCTAGCTTGCTCAACCTATGAAATTAAATCTGAGGAGGTAACTGGTTCCCCAGCAGAAATCACAAAACTTGCCAGGACTGAGTCTTCTAACAATGACTTATCATTTTAGCTATTTGATGTGGGAGTGTCATATATCAATCTGTTGCTTTCATTGGTTAATTAATAAAGAAACTTCTTGGCCTGATAGGTTAGAACATAGGTGGGTGGAGAAAACAGAACAGAATGCTGGGAGGAAGAGGAAGTGAGGCAGATGCCATGCCTCTTCTCTCCAGGGCAGGCACGATGAAGCTCCAGTCCAAGATGGATGTACGCTAGAATCTTCCTGGTAGGTCACCACCTCATGGTGCTATACACATTAATGGAGGTGGGTTGATAAGGATGTGAGAGTTGGTCAGTAGGAGGCTGGAGCTAATGGGCCAAGCAGTGTTTATATGAATACAGTTTGTATGTTGTTATTTTGGGCATAAGCTAGCCAGCTGGGAGCTGGGTGGCAGGAAGCAGCCTGCCGCTCCTTTCTACAGCTATTGAGTGAACTTGAACTGATTCCATTGTTTCATTTGAACAGGGAACATATTTTTGTATTTCACATGAATGTGTGTATATGCATGTTCTTTTTATCCTTTCTCTTTAGATTCCTTGACTGGTTTTTCAAGTGCTCTTTCTTCATTGTTCTAAATTATTGATCCATATTAGCATGGACATCTCATTCTGAGATACTTTTTGCAGAAAGAAAAAGGTGGAAAGGAGGCCCCAGTCTCACAGAGAACCCAGAACTAATCTGGGTTGGCAGAGTAACATTTAGTCTATGGAGAGTTCCAAGGGACTCTCCAGAGTGAGAATTATGAGACCTGTAAATACACAAGGAGTAGACAGCAGGGTCAGAGTGTTTCTTCTGGAAGGAAATGGTTGAGAAGCTTGCAGCACCATCTTCAGTAGCTGAAGAGTTCATTATTTAAGGTTACTGAGGTTGTGTCTTTTTGTGCTCTGGGATAAAGTCAAGAGAAACTTCAGGTGAGGCAGAAGAGATTTAGGTTAGATGGGAAGAAAACAGTATTTTTCATGGGAAATGAAAGCAAACACCCTCTGAATTTGTAGATTTAATCCCTCTAGCAGAAATCTGGCCACTCTTGAACAGTCTCATCTGGTGGTAATCCCAGACTGAGCCTTGTTCTTGAGATCCTGAGTTCTGTGCAGTTTTGATTTTTTTTTTAAATTTTAGAGCCATTCAGTTTTCTATTATTAGGATGGTATTCTAGTTTAATTTCTGTCTCTGTGAGAAAACACAATGACCAACACCGACTTGGAGGAGGAGTTTATTTCAGTTTACATTTCCAGTGCATCACTGAGGGACGTCAGAGCAGGAATACATGACAGGAAGCATGGAATGCTGTGTACCAGCTCATTCACTGGCTCGGCTAGCTTTTTTATACACCCCAGGCCTGTCTAGGAATGGCGTTTCCACAGAAGAGCAGGGCCTCCACCATTAACCATCAATCAAGACATATTCTCTCTAGGCAGTGGTGTGGCACATCTTTAATCCCAGTGCTCTGACAGCAGAGGCAAAAGGATCTCTATATGTTCAAGGCCAGCCTAGACTACAGAACAAGTTCTAGGACAGCCAGGGCTGTTCCATAGAGAAACCCTGACTTGAAAAAAAAAAAAAAAAAGCAAAAGAAAACAAACAAATAAAAAACAAAACAACAGCAACGAAAGACTTTCTCATAGACATGGCTGTAGGGCAGTCAAGTTGAGGTTACTCTTCAGATGAGATTTGCTCTTCCCAGGTGGCACAAGATTGTGTCAAGTTGACAACAAAACCATCCAGGATAGGAGGCAAAGTACCCATCTCAGTTTGATTGCTAGGAAACAGTCACTGTGTTCTGTTCCTGAATCATTTATACCTGTCTAACAGGAAATAGAATTTAAGGCAATGCAGCATTCTTTTCTTCTTTTTTCCTACCATGTGAGTCCTGGCGATGGAGCTCAGATGGTCGGGGATAGTGGGAAGTGTGCCATCTACGTGCAGTGCTCAAGAACATTCCAGGTTTAGGAAGAGCTTTCCTTAAGCAGCTTATTGAGCAGGAGTTTAAAGTTGTTTTCTTGCCTTGTGCTGTCTGTGTGACTGGGAGCTTGTGGTCACTCTTAAAAAAAAATTTACATTTGCTCTACTTAACAAAATAAATAAATAAAAGGCCACAACCCAAACTCTGTCTCTGGAACCCACTTAGAGGTAGAAGGACAAAATCAACTCCAGTTGTCTGTCTTCCATAGCTGTCCTCTACCAGCAACCAAACGCACACACACACACACACACACACACACACACACACACACACACACACACAAGCACACACACACACACACAAGCACACACACACACAAGCATGCATACACACACAAGCACACAGACACACTGAGACAAGATAGAGACACAGAGGCAGAGACAGCAAGACAGAGAGAATGATGCACATATACACTAATAACAAATAAAATTAATTACAAAAAGAAGCCCCTATTCTGTAAGTTAGAGGACCTTCCAAGGAAAGATCCTGGTGTCCCTTCACCTCATGTATCACCACCTACCAATCTGTTAGGGTCTGTGCCATGGTATTAAGAGAGAAACCTCTTCGGCAAAAAGAATAGACTATTTGTTTTTCATTTTTGTCTCTTTTAGACTGTAGTTATTCTTCATTTACAGCATGTATCGTTCCACTCACAAAACAATTTATTGAAACAATGCATCTTATTTATATAGATTTATTTTTAGATATATTTATTTTATTTCACATGTAGGTGTGTTTTGCCTTCGTATAGTATGTATGTACACCACATGAGTGAGTGTCTGGTGCCCTTAGATTTCAGAAGAGGGCTTTGGATCCCTGGAACTGGAGTTATAGATGGTTGTGAGCAACCACGGAGTGCTTGGAAACCAAACCAAGGTCCTCTGCAAGAGCAACAAGTGTTCCTAACCACTGAGTCCTCTCTCCAGTTCTACATATTCGTTTAGTTTTTAATTAATAAAAACAACGAAATAAATCATAGACATAAGTAAAGATAAGCCTTTAAGTCTTCTCATATGATGGGCTGAGAAAATGTGGCTTTCTGTAAAATAAAAGTGGCTGGCTTCCTGACTGCTTTTGTAAATAAACTCTGCCCTGCCTCTAAGGTACAGGACTTAGGTTGTCGTCCCTCATTTAAAGTTCTTTTATTTTTTTTTCCAACTCCCAAACTTAACTTTATTTTGTTGTCCATTCCTCTTCAATTAATTTATAGTAAACTCTGTAAGCATTGAATGTAATGGCTTGCTGAAATTCCCCTTTTAACATGCAGTTTAGTTTTGAGACAGGGTTTCTTTGTAGCTTTAGAGTCTATACTAGAACTAGCTTTTGTAAACGAGGCTGACCTGGAACTCACAGAGTTTACAGAGGCCTGCCTCTGCCTCCTGAGTACTGGGATTAAAGGAAGGCATACACCACCACCTGACCATTTAAAGTTCTTAAAAGTCACTAAAATGTGAAACTTTATTTTGAATACACATAGCAAAACTGATTTGTAAACAAAATCAAGTTACTTACTGATAGCACTGGTAACACTTCCTGGTAACTTTCATGGCTAACACCCTTAGAAACTGTTACCCATCTATCATGCTGAGGAGGCCTGAGATAGGTGATAGGTAGTTGATAATAGGTAGTAGATAGGTGAGCTAAGCGGCCACACTTAGTTCTTCTCCTCTGGCTGTTTATTGCTCTTTCCCCTTGCTTTCTCTTTATTTAATTTCGTTCTTTTAACATGGCTGTTTATTGCTCTTTCCCCTTGCTTTCTCTTTATTTAATTTCGTTCTTTTAACATTTACAAAATTTTAAAAGTAAAATATAATTGCCTCCTCCTTCCTCTGTCCTCTCTCCATTCCTGTGTTTTCATCGTTGTGATATGGAGCAGAGGCTGTAACTCTAAAGTAAATCCTTCAGCTGGTCAAAGCATGGTGCTTGTTTGTTTTGCTTTTAGAGGAGGAATTTGCTTCAAAGAGTACCACTACTTCCTTTGATAGATTTTGTGTCTTGATGAATTTTACAATCCTTCAAAGGAATTAAATTCCTTTCAACATGTTCTTCTGGAACAGAAGTAAGGTGTGTGTGTGTGTGGTGTGTTTGTGATGTTCCACCTTTGGATCTCTGGTGGGGGCATGTTAAGATGGGCTCATTCTCTGGTGGGTAAATAACTCTCTGTATACATTCCTAGCTCCACCCAGCCCCAGAACACCCTGATCTGTGCAGCAAGTGACTTGGATGACTAAACCCTGGCCTTCTCTGTGCACTGTTGTTCTAGATACATTTCATCTTGCTCTTCAGTCGACAAGGGAAACTTCGGCTGCAGAAATGGTACACCACGCTCCCTGACAAAGAGAGGAAGAAGATCACCCGGGAGATCATCCAGGCTGTCCTCTCTCGTGGGCACAGGACGAGCAGCTTCATTGACTGGAAGGAGCTGAAACTTGTTTATAAAAGGTGTGAGTAACTTCCCAAGAACCAAACATCTCACTGTGGCTTTGACTCGTTTCCCTTCTGACTATTTTAGATTGCAATACCCATCTCGGCAATGTCTGAAATCTCTGATGAGGAGAGTCTAAATATTTGCAGCAATGACAGGGCGTGTAAAGATTCCCCATTTGATTAAAACAGCTTCCACATGCTAGGATTGATTCTAAATACTTAAACTGTTCGCTGAATTTGCACACGCATACCCAGTACTGTTTCATGAGTTACATTCCCGGCATCATTTCAGTGACCGTAGATACAGCAGCAAAAAAAGAGACAGATTATGTTCATGTTTACAAGAAGCAAAATTATTCATTAAGCAATCAACATATATTCAGTACCAAATGCTGTGGGAAAGCACAAGCGAATGTGCTGGAAGAATGAGAACCATTTCCAATGGGATGCTCATATTAAAGCTGTCCATATATGCAGATGGGTAAACTGAGGACACACAGTTTAAGCAATTACTTCCTGGTCACAGTAGTTGAATGGTAATCAATCAGTAGAGCCAGTACTCAAGCCTAGAACTTTCTTCCTTTAAAGCCTATATTTCTTTTGATACATCTGTTTGAAGTGGCAAGACCATACTATCAAGGAATCCTCATTTATAGATGAGAAATCTGAGGCTTGAGAGGTAAAGGAAGCTTTCCAATGAAGACTCAGGTAATGGATGCTTAAGATAGGGCCTGAACAGAGCCTCTATTAAACTATGATTTCCAAAACGGAAAATTCACACTGGAAATGCTCTCTTTCCGTGGCATGTAGGGTCTGATAGTTAGTAGAGTCCACTGCTAGGAAGGGCTTTAGCAAAGCAGCTTCTATAGGTTCGGAGGTTTGGCATAGAACGAATCACCATGTGAAGCCAGATATGGTAGTGTGTGCCCCTGAGAGCGCTGCTGAAGGCTTGTATATTAAAGGGGGTGATAAAAAATTGGAAAGGGGCATGAGCAAACACCCCAATTATCGCGAACGAAAGGATACCATCCCTCTGATTGTAGCTCTTCAAGGTGAAATTCTGTTGAGAGCCTCTCGTGTGACTAATGAAGTAATTAACCGCTGTGGCATCTTTATGTATTCTGGTTTATATTTGAGGAGTGCACTGCATGCCATGAGCAATGAATTTTATCCTTGTGTGGAGGGAATCGAGAGAGAGCAGGAGACTGCACACCCATTGGGAAAACCCACTTAAGCTTGTTTATTGTCTCATTCAATTTTGCCTTTCCTTATTTTTTTCTTTTCAAGGTATGCTAGTTTATATTTTTGCTGTGCAATAGAAAATCAGGACAATGAGCTCTTGACACTAGAGATTGTACATCGTTATGTGGAGTTGCTGGACAAGTACTTTGGAAATGTAAGTGTCCTTCCGGCCCTTTAGAGTCTATCCATCTTGGTTCTTGCTTCTGCTCATCTCTTGTATTCCTTTTCTCTCTTTCAAGTAAGTCTAAACTATCCATTGCATTGTACCAAGGATGGTGCTGGCCCACCTTGGTTCAGAATTACAGGATTCCTCCCTACCTGCATTTCTTAGTAAGTGAATCACTCAAAAGATGAGGGTATTTTTTTTTACCTTCAGATTACAAATACATTGAAGACTTTTTTTCAGGAAGCCTGAATTTAATTGCGAGTGAGTGATTTCTGTCCCTTATTCCTCATTGGCTTTGCCATTTCTTTTCTGTTTTGACATTTTGTTCCTTCTTTGGCATTGTTTAAAGTTACAATATCATTAGTACACAAGGAAAAACAACAACGACAACCAACATCAACCCAAACAAACAAAAGTCCCCAATCTTTTCACTTCACAGCGCTATTCCACAATCTCATTTGCATTTATTTACATAACAGATGCAGCGAACTCTCACAGCTGCTCCCATCTTCAGACCGTTCAGTCTGCACCAGCTTGCAGCAGGGCCCCGCATCTTACCACTCCAAGGAAGTTGCACAGTAACCATTGAGCCCTGCATACTGCTCCGCACCACTGACGTCTCAAGTCTTTGCCTGCTTTGCCCTCCGCAGCACTGAATTCATATTCATCCTTTTAGTATCCCCACCCTTCACCCCGCACGCTTTATACCATGCCATTGCTTCCTGCTGGGTCTTGGCCTGTGTATGTGGAGGCCCTTCCTTTGGTTTTCTTTTTCCCCTAAGCTCGCTTTCCTCTTCTGATCATCTAGACGCTGAGCCCCTCTTCCCACCTGCCTAGTGTGTCTATGGATTCTTTCTCCCAGCCTCTACGGCTAGGTGATTTCTTTCTTGCTTCCTCTTCTTTGCTCTCCTGGTGATGGTTTTCACCAATCTTCTCATGACCAAGTACTATGCCTGTCTCTGGCAAACCTGCTCTTTATGGTGGTTGGACTTTGTCTTCTCAGAACCCTGCAGTACAAAAAGACAGGGTTCTTTTGCTTTTCTTTGCTTGCTGCTAGAGCCTACCTGACCCTTCAGTTTAAACCCAAAACTCTTGTCCCTCTCACTATTGTAGTGAAATGACTTGGGATCTTACATCTAGCTTCTTATTTGTCCATTTCTACCCTTAAACTCTTTTATGCTTTTCTGCTTGTCCTGATGATGAGCATCTTTTTTAAAACGTACAGACCTAGGTGGGGCGTTACTGCCCATCACTTTCCCTTCTCTATCAGGAAAAACTCCACACTTCCCAGACTCTAATTTAAACTTTCAAACAGTGACAACCGATCACTCCTCTGCCCTTGCTGTGTATATTCCTCTGTGCACCTGTCTCTGTCAGCATTCCAGGTTATGCAATAGCTCAGGGCACAACATTCTACCTGGGGCAAACCCGGCCCTTCCCAGAGGTCAAGACCTCTGGCCTCTCCCACCCCTGCCACTGTAAATACCTCTGGGTCAGGTTTTCGCAAATGCTATAGAGACACCGATAAAATACACTTTTGTGGGAAAGAGTCTGGAAAAGGTTTCTCCAGCCATGTTCTCTGCTCCTTCCCTTAGTCAATGGAAGTTTATCAAGTGATGATGGGAGAATCTGCTTCCAGAAGAGTTGTTTTTATATTGTTTGATTTGTTTTTGTTATGTTTTGTTTTTTGAGACAAGGTTCCTCTGTAGCTTTGGAGCCTGTCCTGGAACTAGCTCTTGTAGACCAGGCTGGCCTTGAACTCACAGAGATTCGCCTGCCTCTGCCTCCCATGCTGGGATTAAAGGCGTGTGCCACCACCGCCCAGCTAGGGGGTGACATTTTCATCACAGGTGGTTCATGCATGTTCCCTAACCCCCTTTCCTTTATTTGTTTTCTTTTTTCCTTTTTTTTTTTCAACAGTCTTCACAATAACAAGTATTGGATGGATTCCTAATTGAATTTTCTCCCCTATTTTCCTTCTTCTTTCCTCTGTAAATGATGTTGTGAGAGGTACACGTTGCTTGGGAGATTTTAGTTATTTCCGGTATTTAGGAATAATAAGACAGTGACACCAAGTTCTCTTTCTGCTCCTGCCTCGCTAAATTTATTTCTTTTTCCTAAGTAGAACGTATAAAACAGCATGTTTTAAAACACAGAAATATTTAACTTTCTGCTTTCTTTTATTCTAATGAATTCTGATATTTTTGGTGCCCTCCTTTGAGATGAACTTTGCATGTGGCCTTTTGCTCTGGAGGAGTTTCTTGAAGTCTGAGCTTTTATATAACCTGCTTTATCTTCTTTATTTCTGAACTCTAGTTTGACCTGTTCTGTTTCTGTGGATTAAGCCAACTTTGATCATGCAACTTGAAGCTGAATTTTGATCTCTCTGTGTTTACTGAAAGTCAATCAGATATGTCAAAGCGCATCACTTAAGAGAATCTGGATGACCTCCACCCAAGGAAAGAGTAAAGAGGGTCAGAATAACTGCCTGTCTAGCATTGGTTCTCCATCCAATTCTGGTACACCTTTAGAAGCTCACTCTATCTTTGTCATGAATCAAAATTTTAATTCACTAAAGCATTCAATGACTCTTTCATTAAACTAAGAGCACTCCAGGGCTCCGTGCCCAGTAGGTGTTCAATTCTTATTAATTGACAGAGATGACCAAGGGCTTCTAGAACTGATCCTTATCATTATCATTGTCATTATCTCAGCAATATTTCATTTATCTTTGGATTTATCTTCCTCTCCTGCTAATACCAAAGATCTCTTTGAATCCTGCCCATAGATTATGCAAGGGGAAACTTACATCTTGAAGATATAGTATTTTGAAGGCAGATAAAACTCAAGATCTCTGGTTACTAATTTGAGTGATGTGTCTCACAGTACTTTTCAATTCTGAGGAGATTACCAAGGATTGTGTAGTCAATCTTTCAATCTTCAGTAAGTAGCATTAACCCCAATTTATAGATGCTAAGAAGAAATGCTTTGGGGTCTCCCAGTAGATAAGGAATTTAGACGCCTGCCATATTTCCATTCTGCATTGCAGCATGAACGTGGATTGATGTATTCCGAGTGTGTGGCTGCTGCTGTCGCAGGCAGCTTTTGAATTTGACCTAGGGAGTTTTTCTGTTTTAAGAGGAAGAGCATGCAGTGTCTTGATCCTAGTGTCTGCTCACACAGTAACCAGACCCAAGATTTCAGACCTACCACCTATCTCCATTTCACTGATGAGGATACGACACTGGAAAGGGAGATAAAAATATTTGCTTTGTTAAATTCAAATACAATAAGTAGCAAAGATATATAAACGATTGGTTGCTATTTACGTATTGTTTTCCTGTAGCTTTGTGGTTCTTATTACCTGAAACATTTCCTTTGCGTAATTTGAAACTTCTTGTATTTACTTTAGAGTTCAAGGACAGCTGCTTCTTAGACTCTGACCTAAGGGATTTCGTTGTTGAAATGGCAGAAATGTTCTCGGCGTAGTATATACTGGCTGTGAGAGAAGAGCTGTAAGCCACACTATAGTAACACACAGATATCAGGAAGTGAAAGATAAAGTGAAACAGTCATTTTTCTGCCATTTGTAAGTTGTGTGTCAGAATCTACATACATGGGGGGAAATCAAAGGAATGTTTCATGTTTATTAGCATGGACTATGAAGGAAGATGCCACATACAACGTGGTAGTTGCTGAGTGTCAAAGACATAGTTCTTCTATGCTGGGGTGGACCTTAGGTGGAATTTATAAGTATCCAAGAAAGAGCCAATAGAGCTTGACTTTCACCGCAGTTCTGCAGGTTGTCACCCCCTCTTTGGTTTCGATGGAGCTGGGCTGTCGAGTAGCATTTGGGAGTTGTATGAAGTACTTGCTCACTCCCAACAGTATCCATGATGTGTGTGTGTCTGATTCTGCACACCTCCTTGCTTTAGTCCCTGAAACTAGGTGCAGTAAATCGATTGCCCCAGGACTGTTAAAGGAGCCACAGATCTGGGGATTTGTGACTGCTCAGAGTAGGCCCTGAGACATGCCTAGTGAATTCGTAGAATGTTTGTTGGGTCTGCTGGACAGGCTTCTGTCCTAATGAGGCTCCTGTCTGTCTTGGATTTCTAGTTTGTACCAGCTTTGAATGCTGAGGTCTCTCTGCTGTCGCTGCTGGCTTCTACCTCTCCTGACCTCTGATAACTGGTTCTTCTGGTCCTTTCATTCTTGTGTGTGGATCTCTAATTTACTGTAATTTCTTTCTGTTTAGTTTTGTTGTTCAAAATTAGAAAAATGCATTTTCATACTCTTCTGTACATACAATCTTTTAAACTTAAGCAAATGGATTGCAGTATGCATATTCTTATATAACTTTATTATTCTCCTTACAAACTTGTTAGAGAATTTTTTCCCCACATTTTCCATATAAAAGTACCCTATTCTTTCCAAATTGTACATAGAATTCCTATGCCACTGTAGAGATGTATATACATTGTTTTGTTTTGTTTTGTATTTCAAGACAGTGTTTCTATATAGCTTTGGAGCCTGTCCTAGAACTAGCTCTTGTAGACCAGGTTGTCCTCGAACTCAAAGATCCTCCTGCCTTTGCCTCCTGAGTGCTGGGATTAAAGATGTGCGCCACCACTGCCTGGCTGTACATACATTGTTTAAACAGTTCCCTTGATTGGACTTTGAGTTTTCCCAATTATTTTTATAAATGATATATAATAAACATAATGATTGTTGCTTATATGTCTTATTGGACATTGATTTTAGTATCATGAGGCTAAGCCCCTTATTGAACTGTTGAGTCCAGAAACTAAAAAAATACTTATTTGTTGTTTGGCGTTATGTGCATGATGTGTATGTGGGCACTCATGCGTGTGTGTGTGTGTGTGTGTGTGTGTGTGTGCTTGTGTGTGTGTACCATTGCATGCAAGCTGCATTGCACATGTGGAAGTCAGAAGACAACTTTCTGGCATTCCTTTTATCTTTATATGTTCTCTGTGCATCAAACCCAGGTTGTCAGTATTGTAGGGTGTCCCAGAGAAGACTGCCAATAGAAAGTCTTTGTTAGCTGGCAGCACCAAGCCTTTCTCAGGGTGAGCACAAGAACCATGTCTGGGGTTGACATGCTTCAGTTAGCAAGAACAGTTAGCCAGAAGTGGAATTAAAGAAGCTAAAAACCAAGGTTAGTACATCTAGAGACTTTCCCAGAACTGTGTAGTATAATGGCTTAGGTCTTTGTGCTGAGTTTTATGGCCTGAATGATGCTTTCATCATGGGGTCAGTTGTGCTAAGGCCTGGGGGCTATTGAGGTCCAGGGCCTGCTAAAGTCAGGCTTCTCTCACAAGTGCTTTTACCAACTGATCCATCTTACCAGATGTGAGTGTGAGCATTTTTGCATTTAAAATTTGAACAGCCAATCAAAAATGGTACAAGCTTTATAAATTCATTGACAGTGAGGGTATGTACTTATTCATGCCATCACCAGCAATGGATATTTTCATTTAATTTCCTGGTGAGTATGGATTCAGTTTGCCTATCTGTGACTCCTTGACATTATACTTATTCCTAGACATCTATAATGCTCCTTCTTCTTGCTTTGTCTATGCATTGTGCATTATTTTGTTGTTTGGTTGATTTGGTTTGTGGAGCTCTGACTGTCTTAGAACTCACTCTGTAGACCAGGCTGGCCTCAAACTCACAGAGATCCACTTGCCTGTCTCCTAAGTGCTGGGATTAAAGGTGTGTGCCTCTATACCTGGCCTTTTCATTTGTTTTTACATTATGCTTATCTTAGATGGGAATTTTCAAGAATTATTTCTGCATTGAGAATTCTGTATGCTTTTGTCAGTAGGAGGATAAAAAAGCGGGGGGAGGATTTGGAATAGCAGTTCACTTCTTACTGGCATGTGCCTGGATTTGGAAGAGCAGTTCACTTCTTACTGGCATGTGCCCGGATTTGGAAGAGCAGTTCACTTCTTACTGGCATGTGCCAGGGTAAGGGCGTGAAAGAACATAGTGAGCTGGTAGCTTGAGTGACTGAGGCAGGTGATAAAGATCAAGTCTATCTTAAAACCTAGACCTTACAAAAAGAGGAATTAGAACAGCACGTTAGCAAAGTGGGAGACTGACTGTGGTCTTGAATGGGCAAAGAGATTACCTAAAAGATCATTGCTGTAAACCCAATAGGAGGGGTTACAGGCCTGAGCAGCTACAAAGTGGAGGTATGGGAGACGTACTCTATTTATATGGTAGAATCAATAGGATTGGTAATGAAGGAAACACATCAGGACCAAGGGAAGAAAAGATGTCTTAATTAGGGTTACTATTGCTGTGATGACACATCACAACCAAAGAAGCTTGATGAGAAAAGGGTTTATTCAGTTTATACTTCCACATCACAGTTTATCATCAATGGAAGTCAGGATAGGAACTCAAGCAAGGCAGGCACGTGGAGGCAGGAGCTGATGCAGAAGTTCTGGAGGAGTGCTTATTGTTCCTTGTAGTTTGCTACAAGCCTGCTTTCTTGTAGGACCCAGAATCATCAGCCCATCAACCACTAATTAAGGAAATGCCCTCTAGGCTTGCGTATAGCCTAATCATATGGAGGAATTTCCTTTCTCTGATGACTCTAACTTGTGTCTAGTTAACCTGAAACTTGCCAGTACAAGAAGAATGAGTGTGTGTGTGTGTGTGCGTGTGTGTGTGCGTGCGTGTGTGTGTATGTGTGTTTTGGGGGGATAAGTGAGCTCTCACATGAGTTAGAGAAAATAATAAGAAAGAAGCTACTAAGCAAAATAGAGACTAAAGGAAGAAAGAATATGTTTGAGATCATGGCTAAGGGCACTAACTGCTCTTCAGAGGACCCAGGTTCAATTTCCGTCATCTACATGGCAGCTAACAACTGTCCCTAACTCCAAGATCTGTTACCCTCACACAGATACACAGGCAAAACACCAGCGCACATAAAATGAAAATAAATAAATCATTTAAAGAAAAGAATATTTTTTAGATCAATTTCAGGCAAAACACCAACGCACATAAAATGAAAATAAATAAATAATTTAAAGAAAAGAATATTTTTTAGATCAATTTCAGACATGGTGATGTGGAACTAAGAATGCCCAAGTAGACAGACATGTGTAGTCAGTGGGTGAAAGTACTGGGCAAATGGGGATTGGTCGTTTGCTGCACCATTTGCAGGCCAGAGCGGCTATGAAGTGGAGGAATGAGAAGTGTTCTGTTTGAATGTAAGAACCAATAGGGATTGGTGACCACATCAAGAGGACAGACCCAGTAGATGGAGATGAATGAGAGAAAGGAGCTGTCACTGAGAGCCAGTGAGTTTGTCTAGAAGACGATGTCTATTGCAACGCGAAGGCGCTGTGCTGAAGAATGCCGTCATTTAAGAAGAAATGCCACATGTGGTGGACACGCTGCAGTTCTTCAAACTGATATGCCCCAAACACTCCATAAATAGTATTTTCTGAACTTATATATATTCATTTATTTTCGTGGAGGATTACATGTTTGCTAGTGCATGTGTGTAGAGTCGGGAGTCCAGCTTGTGGGAATAGGTTCTCTCCTTCCGCCATGTGGGTCTTGGTGATCAAACTCAAGGTCCAGGACTTGGAAGCAAGTACTTTGATCCTTGAGCTTTGTTCCAGATCAATAAGTACTTACCAACCAAATACAAGTTAGTGGGGAGGAGTAACACGGAATCATCCAGAAAGTCTGAGAACCATCATCTGAGTCAGAGGAGGCCCACAGTCATTAGATGGCTTTGCCAACATCAAGGGAGAAACATGTCTAAGAAACAAGTTGGCAGGCATATCAGTTGCTGCGGAGGGGAGTTTGAGGGAGAATTGAGGGGCTTTTAGCTAGACGGCTTAAAGAAAGCAGTTGTATTTGGGCAGATAAGGTCTGAATGCAGGAGTCAGTTTGCAGTGTGCTGTGGTGTAAGCAGTGAGGAAGCCGGCAGAAACAGGACTCCCTGGTTGAAGTGTTTAGATTATGGGGATAGCTTCGCCGTTTGCTTCACTTCCACAGTGACACCTGCCAGTCCCTCTCGATCTTTGACCCTGGTTAATGTGCTGTTCCACTAACTAGAGGCCTTCAGTATCGTGGGAATATGCTGGCCGCACAGGTGTTTGGACCCGATCCAGACCTACTGACCCGGAAGGTGCAGGGCCCTGGCCTGCAGGAAGAGTTTTCAGAAGGTTTAACAGGGGAATTTGGAAATCTGCAGTTCACTGGCCTAGCAGTCAAGATCTTTAAACCTGAGTGCCTGAGAACTGAGGCTCTGTCCTTCTACTTAGAAAGCAGCAGGCACCCAGCTTCTGCATGTGCCTGTGGACACAGGAGCCTAGGAAGCCTCACTCCCCCACGGAGTCTCAACACGAAACATTCTATTAGCTACTTTCCGATGACTGTGATGAAATACTGTGACCAAAAGGAACACATCAAGGGGAGTTTATTTGGCTCACAGATCCAGAGGAGGGGTCCATAATGACAGGGAGGTGTGCTAGCAGGTTGGGGGGGGTCACATCTCAGTCTCACACAGGAAGCAGAGATAAAGAGAGTGGATATGGACCAGAAGAGGGAAATTCCTTTTATGAAGCTATAGTTACCCTGATACCAAAACCACACAAAGACCCAACCAAGAAAGAGAACTACAGGCCATTCTCACTCATGAATATCGAAGCAAAAATTCTCAATAAAATACTGGCAAACCGAATTCAAAAGCACATTAGAAAAATTATCCATTATGATCAAGTAGGCTTCATCCCAGAGATGCAGGGCTGGTTCAACATACGCAAATCTATCAATGTAATCCACCATGTAAATAGACTGAAAGAAAAAAACCATATGATCATTTCATTAGATGCTGAAAAAGCATTCGACAAAATTCAACACCCCTTTATGATAAAGGTCTTGGAGAGACTAGGGATACAAGGGTCATACCTAAATATAATAAAAGCTATTTACAGCAAGCCGACAGCTAACATTAAACGGAGAAAAACTCAAAGCCATCCCACTAAAATCAGGAACAAGACAAGGATGTCCACTCTCTCCATACCTCTTCAATATAGTGCTTGAAGTTCTAGCAATAGCAATAAGACAACATAAGGGGATCAAGAGGATTCGTATTGGAAACAAATCTCAATTTCTAAAGACATGCTCTGCTTTAATAGGATTTGGTTTTACGTCTTCTAAAGGTCTGGGATTCTCTTCTCCCGTCTTTCTATCCTTAAAATGCCATGTGGTGTTTTATGTTTGCCTACCACTTGAATGGCAATGCTGGGAGAGTTGGAGCCAGTGGCAGACGTTTTCCTGATTACTCCAAATTTATCAAAACGTTTATTTTTTTTTCTCCTTACCAGGTCTGTGAGCTGGATATTATCTTTAATTTTGAAAAGGCGTATTTTATCCTTGATGAATTTATAATAGGTGGAGAAATTCAGGAAACATCCAAGAAAACGGCAGTCAAGGCCATTGAAGAGTCTGATATGTTACAGGAGGTCAGTATAGTTTTTATTCCTGGGAAAGATGATGTTGAGTCCAGCACTAATTATAATATAGCCACCACTCTGATTACTATACCCGCATGTTGTGCTGGGCATAGCTTCTACTTTAAACAGTTCTCACGTATTAGTTTGCTCAATTCTGTCAGCAATTCTAACCAGGTCTCAGTCTGTTTTCTTGTGAGTGAACAGAGACTCGGGAGGTGGAATGTCCTGCTCATTTTTGTAGTTAATAAATATGAAATAGAGCTTTGGACCCTTGCGGTTTAGTCCTGAGTCTTTGCTTGTCCTGTCTTGCTGAGCTTCAGGGTCTGAAAATATGTTACCCTCTTAGGGGTATCAAATGCTTGGAGCTATTATTTGCAGACGTAATTTTATGAGATGTATAAAAAGGCTTTCATTAAAATATCTGCTCTGCCCTGGGAAGGAGACACAGCAGTACGGAGTTATTTCATTTGCCAGGAATATTAGAGCTATGTTATCGAAGATGGCATTTGTCATTTTAATTGAAATTCCCTGCCTCTTGGGAAGACCCTAGGTCTGTGTCTGTGTGCTCTTGCTTGTGTAAATGAATCAGGAGCACTTATGGATGGATTGCTGAGGTATAAATGGGCCCTGAAACCTATGCTTGGCACTGCCCCTGACATTTTGCCTCATATAATATCCAGGGACTTTTCTTTTTAGAAGCATCCCAGATTTGAATCTGACCTAGTAGGGTAATATAACTTACATTAACCCCTTGCAGGACACTGGAAAAGAACACTGTGTTTCTCTGACCTTTGCCTTCTAGAATGAGGCAGTTCTGAGCAGTCCTAAACTAAGCATATTTCTGGGTGCTTAGATTCTGTCCCGGCCTCCCAGAATACCAGTGGGTCTTCCTTCCTTCCCTCTCTTCTCCCCCTGTTGCCCCCACTCTCCGCTGTGTGTGTGTGTGTGTGTTTGTTTTTTTGGACAGAGTCTTACAGTGTAACCCAGGCTGGCTTTAAATTCACTATTCTTCTGCCTCTACCTCCCAAGTGCTGGGATGACAGGCGTGTACCACACCTGGCCTCAGTGGGTCTTTCCATCTTCCTGTTTTCATAACAGCAGGTCAAGAGTCAAGAGGATTTCAAGAATTGTAAAGTGCCCTTTTAAAATTGGTACTAAGGCCATTCTTCCTGCTATTTGGAAATAAGAGACTGATTAAGTTAATAAGACATTAGGCATGATTTCCCAGCAACTGTCTTGGCAATACTTTGAGCTGATTACTTACTCCTGCCCATGGAGGGACTCCATCCTCAGGTGAGTGGACATGAAGAAAGGCAAGGGTGGGTCCCACAAGCAGCTCTGGGTGCCTGTCAGGTCAATGCATTCATTGCTAGAGGTATTATCCCCTTCAAGAAATGCATTAAACCTCATTGAGTCTTACTTGACTCTTTCCAAATGTCACAAAAGGGGATTTTATGAGGCACTGAAGCAATCAGTACTTGTAAATAACTTGTAAAAGAACATTTATTAAAATATGCTGGGGTGGAGAAACAGGGAGTAGGAAGTGGGGGTTATTTCTAAGACTCTACTCTTTGTCTTTAAGATAGAAGCTTCTTATAGGAGAGGCAGACCTTTCACAGGGTCTTTGGTACTTTGGTAGCTAAAGCTTCCTGAATTGAGGCCAAGACACACCTGAGTTATTTCGAAGTCCCCAGGCTGCAGGAAATAGGCTTTAAGAACTTTCAGTGGATCTGTGTTCCTAGTTCCACTTAAATCTTGGAAGCAGGCATTTCAAGAAGTGAGCCCTTTCACAGGAAAGCACTAATTGGTTGCCCCGTGTCCCTGATGGCTGAGAAGACAGTGTGAACTGGTAGAGTTAGATGCCCCGTGTTAAGCCCTGTACCCCAGCGATCAGGCAAGGTTGTGGCTGCCCTTAAATGGCTCTTGTTGAGTGAACAGAGCCTGCCAAATGCCACAGTCTTGCTAGTGTCCTTGTGGGCTCCAGTACCCCTTCCAGTGACATCCGTGAACATTTGGGAGAGCTTGTGGAAGAGTCAACTTTGCATGTCTGGTCTGCTTTATAAAGTACAGAATATGTAGGAGAAAATGTTCAAATTGCATAAAGGGGAAGAAGGCCCCTTTACTTCCTGACCTGCCACGAGTCCCACGTTGGACACCATTTGTCATATCCCATGCCTGGGTGACAATTACTGGGTCCTGCCTGGCTTCTTCATCCCTGTTTGGAGGGAAGTGTGAGGATTAAGAAAAATAGACAAGAGACAACTGATAGAGTTGGGAGGGTATCTAGTAAATAATGAGTTTTGCCTCATATTTTTTTCTCATAGGCTTTCTATGCCCCAGTCCAAAGAGGAAGGGGAAGGCAAGAGACTTCTTTACCATGATACTAGGAACTAACAAAGTAATTACATTCTTAGTATCCAAAACATCAAGTAACCACACTCTAGGTCAAAACATCCTGTCAGTAGCCACACCTTAGGTCAAACCTCCTTGAAGAGAACAGGTCTGGCTCTCTGACCTTTAGTCAAGGTGGAACAAATCCTCTTCTGTGCGTTCCCACACTTAGAGTTCAGCTCTAAGTACGCATTTGTAGTTATTAGGGTCCAAGAAAGGCCTTTATGATGTTGTCTTCTTTTAGAACAACTGAAAACCATGAAATAGCTCTTAGGACTTTCCCCTCAATTACACCTAATGAAATTTTCCTGGGCTAGAGGAGAGAAACAGAAGTTAATTTCACATATTTAATTAGGCCCATAGTCTTAAAGCTTTAGGTGCCCATCTTAATCTGAACATATCCAGGTTAGATGTTGATAATTCTGAAAGTCTAGTTGTCTGGGGTTGACTGATATGGGAGGGAGTAGCAGCAATGTGGGTGATGTCATAAAGTTAGAAGCATAGAGATTGTAGAGTAGAGGTTGTACTAGATGAAGAGAATGATCTTCACAGACCATAGCCTGTTAGGAAGGGATGGTCAAATGGAGTCAAGCCGTAGGCCATCTCATTCATGAGGATGTATGAACAACTGCTTGGTGCACCCTAACACTTTTCAATCTTCAGAGCATAAACCAAAACCACAGTGCAGTAGAAAGGGGATGCATATTAGGTACAGAATGCATCTTATCAAGGTGTGAGAGTCTCCAGTTGGGTCCAAAGATATGACCCTAGCTTGACTCTAGTGAAGGTAAGGGAAGACAAAGATTTGAGACTGTGACTGTTTTAAGTCAGTTCCAACGCTTTTAAGTGCAAGTTCAAGAAAGCAACAAATTCTCACAACATTTCTTTATGTCCTTGGAGTGATAGCTGGAGTCACCTCATGCTAATATATGGTGGATAACCAGAGCCCAGTGAACCTTGCGGCAGTGAGGTATTCACTTTATGTCCTTGACCATCTCATGCTTCTTCAAGGCTGCAGAAAGTGTTGAGCAGGGTGTCCATACTGTCCATTCAAATTTGCAACAGTAAGGCATTTTAACTGCAAAGACAATATAGTTGTAGCAATATAAGAGTATCAAACAAAGGGAATATGTTATTCTAGGTTTTATTTGATCATCTTTTTAATATTGATAATGTGTTGTCATCTCTTACATTTTAAATATAAGATTATAAAATCTCATAAATTTTAGACTTAATTTGCTTTGGATCTTTTTAAATCAGGATAATCTACAAAATTCACATAGGTTAGGGGTCATTGTTGATACCCAAGTCAAGTTAAAAGGTAATGGTGGAATATTTAAGAGGAGATTCAGGCCAGATGTCCTTGGTTATAAGCCTCTTTGGACCAGTGCCCAGTTAGGAGGCTGACAAGCTTTAGAGAAAGTGTGGGTGACTAATCATAAATCATTTCAGCAGTGGTACACTGAGATTCTAAAGAGACAGGGAACACAGGTAGAAACCCTGATTTCTGATATGGGTATCCTCTAGGTCAGTGGTGCTCAACCTTCCTGATGCTGCAACCCTTCAATACAGTTCCTCATGTTGTGATGACCCCCCCACCATAAAATTATTCTGTGGCTACTTCATAACTGTATTTTTCTACTGTTATGAATTATAATGTAAATACCTGATTTGCTGGGTATCTACTATGCAACCTCCAGGTTGAGCGGCTCTGGACAATCTTGTTGGCCACATCCTTGATCTCTTTGGCCCCAGCTGCCAATCTTTCCTGAGGTGTTGAATGATCACACACGTGTTGGGGCGCATAATTAGATGTCAATTGCTAAGCAAATTGGGAGTGACCCATAGTGGCTTAAAGTTTTGCCTAAGGATAACTTGCTACCCCCCACCCTCCATGAGCTCTCTTACTGATATAACCTGGGTCATTGTTTTTCATAAATGTGTATCTGTTCAGTAGGAGGGAGTTTGCAATACCAGTGTGGAATTCTACCTGTCTTATCAAACACTTAAAAGAAAAAATGAAGACAGGAAACTAAAACTTTGGGGCTTAGCAGCAAATTTGATAACTGAATGAGGGTCTGGATATTTTGGAGAAGTGCTCTTCCAAAGGCATAGTGGAAAGCTTTCAGAGTCATAGGATACTTATCCCTTCTGACTGGGCTGTAGGTATAAAGAAGAGGTTCTGCACAGCATAGAAAACAATGCATGTGTTACATATACTTGGGGCTTCTCAAACACATGTGCCCACGTGTGGTCCTCGCGGCCATTTAGACAGGAGCTTTAAATGAACAGTGGTGTCTCCGTAGTTGTTTCAGCATCTCTCTTCCCAAACATCCACTTCCTGATCAAGCTTACCCTTTTCTCAGTTGAAACTGATGTATGTACAGCCATGTGTACATGTAGATAAATGATATTCAAACTTGTAGCCACTTAAAGTAGAATGCAAAGAGTTATGTCTATATATGCTTTTGAATTTTTTCAACATGGCAAAAAGAAAAAACCAACAGAATGAAAAACAAATCATAGTCTGTTAATGCATATGGTTTAAAGGGAAGATTGCTCTAAGTCACTTTTCTCTTTCAGACAATGGAAGAATACATGAACAAGCCCACGTTTTAACTGTGCAGTCTACTTGAAGATTCTGAGTGCTTCGTGTTGGGAATCAACCAATGAGCAACTCTTTGCATCCAGTCTCCACACAGCTTCTGGCTCCATGCCAAAAATAATTTAAAGGGATTGTTGTTAGCATAACGTATTTATAGTTGCTACATGTCTGTATTATACTGTGTATCAGTACTCATTGTGGCTCTAGTTGTTTCAAATAATTGCTGCAGATTGAATAGTTGTTTGCCGTGTTTGTGGAATTTTTTAAACGTAATTTCAAATATTAGTTGCAATATAATAATTTTTGTTGCCATTTGATCGGTCTACCTTTAGGCTGACAACTACTTTGTGATAACACACAATTTTGAATGTAAAGTATATTTTATATAACAAATGCCTTTCCTAAATGTTTTTAAAAGGTACATGAATTCAAATTTATGTTACTAGTTCAGATTTCATACATGATACAGACATTTTTAAATGTTCAATACTACTATAATTTCAGGTCAGATACAATTTATATGACTTTAATGTTTTGAATTCAAGTTATTTTCTTCAGAATTGGGATAGAACTTTATAAATGATTTTGATGTTTTAGAAGGTGCTAGATTGAGTTTTTTTTAAACTTTACTTTCAATTGAATATAAGGGACATTTCAATAAGGTTATGTTTTCTACAAGCTACCTATTTATTATGGTTTCAGGAGATCTGGAGATAAAATATTACAGTATCTCCTATTATTACCAAAGTACTAACAAAGGAATAGCTAGATCAATAATTGTAATCTCCACTACTATTTTACATCTCATGTTCCAATTAATCCTTGTGATCGAGAGGCTTCTTCAAATAATTTTAATGTAAGCTGAATGCATTAGGTTTCCTTAGGGCATGTATTTTCATTGTGTCCTTTATGGGAGGTGACGCTATTCCTTTTTCCTCTCCTCTTCCCCAGGAAAATATTTTCTGCTGACCACTATTATTGTGACCATATCACCTTCATGCTTCCAAAACAAACGTTCTGCATAGTCAGGTACTGAGTGTGCTCAGACATGAAGTAGGGAGTTGCTTTGTGGCGTTTGTTCTCAGCGCCCGTGTCTGGAGTTTCGGGTATGCATTTTCATTGTGAGTGTCAGAGTCTGATATCATCCATATCAGAGTGCTTAGGACGCTTACGATTTTCCTAAGACAATAGTGAGCTTGAGTTTGGGTTCTGTGGGAGATCTCGAAAGGGAACATGACGGTTTGTTGCCTTTGGTTCATTTCATCAGTCATATTTAAGGCATGATGGCAAAACCAGAATGGAAGAACAGTCAAACGGACCCATTCCTCAATATAACCATTTATATAAAGGCAATAATTCAGTTTGCATATGAGGAAATAAATGGACTTTTAATAGCTGACGTAGCTTCAGATTAATAATATGACTATGGTGGCTGGTTGATATTTGTCCCTTTTGAACAACTTTGTTTAGACAGACTTCAGGTTTGTGCACTAACTTAAAAAAATTGGTTAAGAATCTTTGTTTTTCAAACATTTTGTAAAACTGAACTTTCTGTAATTTCAGAGGTTTTCTGGTTCCTTCGCAGTGTTTTTGAATGAAGGTATCATAAAATGTACTGCTTATATTCTGGATAGAAACACTTTTGACACTGTCCAACTTGTACAAGGATTCTTCCTGTCGATGTACACATAGAAAGTGATTATATTTATATTACATACTGGGGTAAATTCAAAAGATTTGAGGAATGGCTTACATGAACTTTAGTGAAAATCATTATGCATATTTTATTATTACAAAAGTCTAAGAAAAGTACCAAGTGAAAAGAAAAATAATACTGAATTTGTATAAAACTTCCAAATAAAATGTTAAAAGATGTTGATAATGAACTTGAGTATGATTTCATGACATATATATGTATATATATATTCGTGTTAACTAATCTTTTAGTTTTTATAATTTTAATTTTAGTTTCTGGTAAAAATCCCTTTAGAATTTCTTGCTACCCTTGGCTGTGGTGGTGCATGCCTTTAATCCCAGGACTTGGGAGGCAGAAGCAGGCAGATATCTGAGTTCAAGGCCAGCCTGGTCCACACAGTGAGTTTCAGAACAGCCAAGCTACACAGAGAAACCCTGTCTCATAAAACAAAACAAAACAGCCCTTCCCCTGCACACATACACACAAAAACAACTAAAAAGAGAAAAAAGAAAATAATTTCTTGCTATTTAGTAATGAGAACCTCACAAGGTGGAGGCTCCTGGGAGCACACTCATTTCTTCCCCCATTCTGCTCTTCCAGCATTTCTTTACCGTGTGATAACAGGATTTCTTTACTGGCAGCCAAGGAAGCAATCAATCTTTCATTACTTTCATTAACATATGTCAAGGCTTTTTTGCTATAAAATAAGTGAATTTTCTCATCCTGAATCTGTTAAAATAATGGTAAGGCTTTCATCAAATACACTGTGCTTCGAATCCCAATAATTCTTCCAAGATGTGTATTATCGGACTATAAAATATCATTGTTGACGGACTGCGTGGACATCGATTGACTTCTCAGAGGTTTCATCAATAAACACATTGATAAGTGTTAGTGTAGTTTTTCATATGGCCCCTGCAGTTTTTGACAAAATACATTCAGATGTTCTGGAATATGTAAAGCCAACCAATGACAATTTCCAACAATGGTAAATGGGAGACCATTTCTTTGTTTCAACCCTTTTTTGATTTGTTACAAACACTTAATAAAACTACCCATGGACAATGTGCCTTGATACTAGACAGCAATAATCTGCTTTGTCACAGGTAAAACCACAAGCATCTAATAACATCTAGGGCTTTATTAAAGTCACCTTTCTCCTCCCCCCACCTCTTATCCCCTCTTCTCTCCCCACTCTTCTCCACTCCATCCTCACACCTTTTCCTCCTTCCCTCCCTCTCTCTCTTTCCCTGAATTAATGCCTTCTTCCCTCTACTTCCTCTCCTCCTTCCCTCCCTCTCTCTCTTTCCCTGAATTAATGCCTTCTTCCCTCTACTTCCTCTCCTCTTTCCCTCCCTCTCTTCTCCCTCTCTGTCTTAGTTAGTTTTCTATTGCTGTGATAAAATACCACGACCAAAATCCCCTTGGTGAAGAGAGTTTATTTTAGCTTATGGTTTATAGACCATCATGAAGAGAAGTCAGGGCAGGAAACTGGAGGCAGGAACTGAAGCAGATTACACAGGATTGCTGCTTACTCATCTTGCTTGCCTATACCACCTAGAATTATTCCCCCAAGAAAGTTCCACCCTCAGTAGGCTGGGCCCTCCCACATTAATTAACTCAAAAAATGCCACACAGATTTGTACACAGGTCAATCCGATGGTGGCAATTTCTCACCTGAAGGTCCCTCAAGTATAGGTGACTCAAGTCTGTGTCAAGGTGACAAAAAACTAGCCAGCACACTCACTGTCATTTTTTTCCTGTCACAGGACCTCATTGTGTAGCCGAAGCTGACCTCTAGCTGGTGACCCTCCTGCCCCTGCCACCCAGCGGCTGAGGTTATCGGCATATGACACCACACCTGCCTTAGATTCACATTTCGATGTGTGCTTTGGTATGTAATTCAAGCCTCCAGACAGACGTTAGAAAGTTCTCCACAAATGAATTCACATATTTACTGAATCTTAGGGTCCTCTTGGATGTGGGCCATCGGTCCCTGGCATGTGCGCCTCTCTCATCATGGCTTCGGTTCTAGGTGCTCATTTATTGTTTTGGCTTTCTAGTGTGTTTTGGAACTTTGCCAGATAATGTTCAAACGTTTCTTTTGAGAGCATCTTTCTCTTGACTAAGAAAAGTCAGTTAATTTGAGATACATTTATGTCTCCATTTTCTTCAATGGAGTGACATTGGGTACTTCCACCACAGTCCAGCGCAGGCCTCACACTTAGGAGTAGTTGGTCAGCATAAATGTAGCGGCGTAAATGAACGGCAGACAGAAATTATAATAAAATATTCAGCTTTAATGAGGGAAAGACTTACAGAACCGAAGTTCCAGCGGAGAACAGGAAAGCAGAAGGGAAAGGGGGGGGGCACACCAGCAATATTTATTAGTAAAAACTATCCTCAGGGGACCCCGCCCTACAAGCAAGGTGATTGGCTGAGGCAACCCCTACACATAAATCAGACTCCATGGTTTTTAGTGGAGTCTTTCCTCCCCCCCCCCTTTGAAAGAAAGAACATGAAGTTGGGTGGGTAGAGAGGAGGAAGATCTGGGAGGCACGGGGGCAAGGAGAAGAGTATAATAAATATACTGTATGTATTTCTCAAATAATAAATTATTTAAAAAGAAAAAATAAAGCAATAGTTAGATCATTTGCATTCATTAAAATGGGATCAAATAAACTGAGAAGTGAGAGTGATAAATTTTCAATTAATACAGTTTAAATTTGAATGCCTGAAATGTTAAATTTGGGTTAAATAAAATGAAATTCAACAAAGCTCTTAAACTATATATATTAGTTTTAATTATGCAGGATTAAATACATTTTTGGAGAATTTATCTTCTATAATGAATTGACTTAATGAAATTACATTTTCCATTATTTAGAAGTTGAGCATTTTGAGGAAAAAAAAATGCTCAATGACATTTTGTCTAGTCAATTTTTGAGTCATTGTACGATTAAAGGCTTAGACTAAAACGATGGGGAAATAAACCACAGTAAGTTAATGAGAAAAATTGCTAGAATCAGTTGTACATTCTACTTGGAGCAACAATCCCATGTAATAATAATATCAACAAAGAAAACAATTTTAGATTGTTAATTGAAAAATTTACTAAAATTATAGAAGCATAATTTGAAGAAAATGTAAATCTTTTACATATACAACAAACCTAAACACAGTAAATAATAAAGTAAAAAATCAGGTGAATTGATGATTTCAGGAGATACTTCCTGAGAGACCCTTCTATTCTAGCCTTCTAACTCTGGTTCTGCTTGGCTTTTTGTCAGCTAGACACAGGCTAGAATTATCTGGGAAGAGAAACCTCAGCTGAGAAAATGCCTCTATCAGACTGTCTGTGGGTGAAGTCTGTGAGCTCATTTTCTTGATTGCTAATTGATGGAAAAAAGTGTCACCCCCGGGGGCATGCCACTCCTGGACAGGTGGTTGGTAGTGGTGTGAGAAAGTGGGTCGAGCAAGCCATGAAGGAAAGTCAGTAAGCAGTCTTGTTCCATGACCTCTGCTTCAGTTCTTGCTTCTAAGTTTTTGCCTTGAGCTTCCGCACAGACACTATGTTGTTCCTAAGTGGCTTTTGGTCATGGTGATTTATTACAGCAATAGAAACCAGACAAAGACACACTATTCCTGTAGTCTGCACTTAAAACATTATGAGCAAGAATACGTACATACTGAAGTTAAGAATTTTTCTGAGGACGCCATCCAAAAACCATTAAATATAATTTTAGTTTTTATGAACTGCAATAGGAAATTGGACCTGAATTTTTATCTCTATTATGGTTCTCAGAAACCAGTCTCTGAAAGCAAAGCACTAAGCCATAGCACATAGGTCAGGGGGTTGTGGAATTGTGAATCCTATTTGTGTTTAGCTAGAGCTTTACAATAGAGCTTGGGGACCTTGATGCTAGTCCTGAGTGTCATTGACAGGACTCACAGAGAGGTGGATTATGGGAAGATGAAGGGATGACTGAGGTGAACCAGAGAGACTATTCATTATACACCAGAGGAAAGAAAATGAGAACACCAATGTTCAGACTTCGATGGGGTCACGGTGCTAATCATTTGTTTAATTAACTTTCCTTTAGATCAAAGGCCATAGGAAGGTATTTGATGAGCTTGTTTTCCTGGTGTGTGCTACAAGCTAATGGCTTTCGGGGCATGATTTTCATTCTTTCAACTGATGGGAGTCAAGTATACTCAGTGCTCTCTGAATGACGGTCACTGTTGCAGGAGTAGAGAAAAGGCTGCTCCTGGAATATGGACGAGAAGTGAACTGCCAAGTTTGTGTTTGGGAGTTTTCGCAGGTGGAACTTCTCACCATCTTGAGAAGGAAACATGTCTTCCTGGCCCTGGATAACAGTCTGAAAAGGTAGCGTCCAATGACCACTTTGGCCACTTAGCGAAGGCATCCATTTAACCTTGTTTATAGCTAAGCACGAACGAAAGCTTCACATTTGATTCCGAGCTGAGGAGCCAGGGTAGGATGCAAACAACATGGCTTGGGAAACGAAGCAAAAAACTGCATGTTCATTTATGAGATCACTTCCTGGTGCTCTTGGGTATGCTGTGGGAATTCATTTCCCAATCTCTTTTGCAAGTCAGGTTTTTCATGGCGTAGTAATGACCAATGGAATGTGGGTCAAAGTGATGTTCTGAGTCACAGGACGGCTGTGTGGTCCTTCATTCTCCGTCTTCACTGTTAAAGCTGACGGAAAAGAACCCATGATTCAGAGAAAGCAGAGCCTTGACGAGAGTTTAAAACATGTTAGAAAAGCCAACCAACTGACCAATCGCGAGCCACAGAAGGGGACTTCTAGTGTCTGAAGCCAGTGAACTCCAGCTGTTTATTGTCACACAAGTCTGCCCTAAACAATGCATGACCCAGTGCTGGGCTGTTACCGACAGAATCATCAAGACTAGGACGTCAAGTGTGTTCTTAGGGCATAGACAAACCATAAGACTCTTGGCATTGAACCCACATGGCTGCTTATCTCGTGATTGCAGAAACAAGCTACTGTGTTGGCTGGAATATCGTGCCCCTCCCGGGCTTATGTTTTAAACACCCAGCTGGTGGCGCTGTTTGGGATACTATGGGTTCTTGAGGAGGCGGGTCCTAGCAGGAGGAACCTAGGGGTTGACCTTTGAAGCTTTTAGCCCAGTCTTAAATTCGGT